ACCTGGCATCATCCGGGGGAACTTTGTAAAGCTGTCACCTAAATCCTACCCCAGTGACTCTGAACAAATGTTGCAGGAGGAGGCCTGAGACTTTATGTCTCCGCAGTAGATTTCAAGGGGCAGCTAAGGTTGAGAAGGGTGGGTGATCTGTAAGTGCCCTCCAGTGAGCCAGGGAGGAAGACACTAATAAAATAGGCAAAGAATGTCATTTCCCTGGGAGCTGGCACCATCTGTGCTAGGAAAACCACCCCTGAGGTGGCCCGCCACCCAGTTTGTTGTCTCATTTTAGCACTGAAAGTTCCACGCCCCTGGGAGCCTAGTCCCCGCCAAACAGCAAATTGGTCACCTGTCTGTCCCCACCCAGGTTGGCTCAGCTCTTCTCATAGTGGAAGGAAGGCAGTTTAGAGCTCTGCATCCTCTGGAGGGCAGAGGAAGGGGTGAGGGGAGAGAAGAGAGCTTTTGTGGGCTGGGGGCCAGAGCTCCCTCCAAGGGACAATGCCATTTCATGGCCCTTTAATTCCATGTCTCCCGAGTCAAAACTCCTGGATATGAATAACTCTTTGGAAAGCCGAAAAGGTGGCTGATTTTTATTCCAAGGTGGAGACGGTGTGTGGATATCAGTAAGTCCCCTGAGGCCGACATGACCTTGAGATGGTAAGCTCCTGCAAGAATGTGCAGATAGTTTGGAGCAGGGCTTTGGACTTGATGGAATTGGTATGGTTCGATGCCATTTTCATCTAGACCTTGGAGCAAAGCAGCTCCCAGGTGGCAGCTGAACCTTGCCTTGGACACCTCTGACTCACAAGAGCCTGAGCTTGCACTGTGCTCAGGGTGAATGAAGGTGTGGGCAAGGGTGGAAAGAGCTGGAAAATATTTCAGAGGAGCCTTTGTGGGTGGGGCAGGGCTGGGGTGGGCTAGGCTGGCACAACTAGAGCCTCTAGAGAAGGGAAAGAGGCTTAGCCTGCTCCAGAGGGCAGGAACCCATTTTATATCATACTATAAATTACATATCACACCAGCTTGAAAAGTGGCCATTGGCCAGGAATCTGTCATAATTAAAAGGTGCAGAAATCACTTACAAAATGACCCTGCCGACTCCAATCATCCCTGAAGATGGCCAGAGCTGTGGTTGGAAACAGTTTCATTTTCTTTCTTTCTTTTCCATTCCACGTTGCCCTGGCCATCCCTGGAAAACTGAATCTGAAGTTTCCCACTGGCCTTTGCTACTCTGATGTTTCAGAGGGAAGGAAAACACCTATTACGAATGTACGTTCCGGGCGGATGGCTGCTTCCAGCAACCTCCGGAGCCAGAGTAATGAATCTTGAATCCCTAGTCCTTGCCCAAATCTCAATGGCTAGTAATTAAATTTCCACTAACAGTTTGTTTTATCACCTCAGTTAGCTTGTTGACATATAATAGGTGCTGCTGAGAGTTACAACTAGTTAATGATTTTCTTTTACATATTGATATTAGTACCTGGAGTGGGAACATCTCCTCTTCAGAATATGATTACTATTTTGAAATCTTAAGCACAGGAGGGAAATCCGTTTCTATAAATTAAACAAGAAGTTCTGAGAACTTCTATCTTCAGTTCCCATCCAGACACTAATGCATCTCATTTACTTTGTGCTGTTCCCCTGAGTTATCTATGTCACGCAGACGACTCTTGCATGTCACGTTAACTATCTATTGAGAGAAGCTCCAAGTGTGCTGGTAACAGCGCCCTGAGCCAGGATGTGAGGTGGGGAGCAGAACATGAAAAATTCATCACTGTTCCGTGGCAAGTTGCTGGGATATTTTAATGCGAAGAGGAAAGAGCCCATCTCAGCTAAAATGGAGCTGTAATTAAACGGAAGCAGCGTTCAACATCGCCTTGAGTTCTCATTTGTTTCTTTTCCCCATCTTTAAACTACATGAAATCAATTATCTCCGAGAACCAGTGGTAAGGATCGTATGCCAACCACTTACTCCTGGAGTGAGTGAGTTATTTGCGATTCATTATTGATGTGAACGACTCATCAGATGGAAAAGCCCGGTCCTATTATTCAGGTGCGGGTTCAGGAAGGTACACCCCTGGTCCCTGTCTCGGATGCCCAAGGCAAGCCCTTCCTGGTACAAATCCAGGGCAGGGGAGGAAGGCAAGGCAGAGCAGGCTTCACGTCCAGAGTGACTTCCCCTTAACATGTGTGGCTTTACACATAGTGACAAACGTGTTCCCAACATACCCCAGAGTGACAGTTACAGGGTCAAGGGAGAGCGACGTCCGGGCCTGAAATACCTCCTGTGTGTTGAGGGTACCAGCCACCTGGAGCCGTGATAGGCACTGGTGTGTACAGGATCTGAAATGGAGTTGATGTGATGTCATTTTGGCTCTCCTGCAGCCTGGTTATCTCTTGCCAAGACTTCACGTCTCATTAGTCCGCTTGGAGGGGACAGCGGACTTTATCAGCCTCACTTCCCGACACTCCGTCAACTTCAGAAATGCGGTGAAGGAATTTAAAATGAGGTGTCACATCTTCCTATCAGATTCCTTTGTGAGCTGGGTGCCTGCTCTGGAAAACACTAATAAAGGGGGAAATGAAGTTTGGCCTGGCGATGCGTTCTGAGGTTGCATCCTTCTGGGTTAGCATGTCCTGCCTGGCACTGGGCTGTCCCCGGGAGATGTCAGCCGTGCTGCTGGGGTGACAGCAAACATGGCTCCTCTGCAATTCAGGGGGGAAAGGTGAGACCTGCTGATCTCTCTCTCTGTTGATGGAGAAATCATCTGATAAACTCCTGATGAGGATACCCTCCCTAGCTGTGCCTTGTTACTCTGTCTGAACACCTTGCTGCTCTGACACCAGGGGATCCTAGCTGGGCTTGGGCCACACAGAGCTTTCCAGGGATCAGATTCCACCCAGCTTCCTGGGAAAAGGGTAGTAGGTTGGCTATTGTCATCTCCACTTCACCCTTCACTCCCCTTGCTGCAATGGCTGTCCCTACAGGAGATCTGTGACTTTATTGGATCCTGAAGCAAAAAGATATGTGAAAGCTGAGTTGACTATTAGAAAAGTCAGGGTGCCCAAGAACTATTACGTTGGCCTTGGTCTGCTAGCACCTTATCAAACTTGCTTCTGTGCATGGTCACATGTTTCTAATGCCACATCCCTTGCATTAGAAACAAGGTCATTAACTCTTATATAATGGCAAAGTAGGAACTCAGTGCATGGCCCTTGATGCTTCAGAATCTGTAGAGATTGGTGCTTAGTTCAGATGAATGGGTCTTTAAGTGGCGGAACTGCAGATCTTAAAATATCTGACATTTAAGAACCCAAGGGTTCCTTGGATCATACTCTCTAAACATCGGTATCTTAATTGGTAGAGTGGGGATTATGACGTTAGGCTTAAATCTCACTTCTGTCAGAGCTGCAGGATGTGAAGACCAGTTTAGGATGTGTAGGTGAAATGCTACCATGCACAATGGGGTGCACAACGTAATGTCACTCTTTTCTGTAAAAAGACATGGTTTGGATTAGCAGATAGAGCTCAGACCTTTCGTGCACTTAGTCCAGAAGGAAGGATCTGCCAGGTCATCTCAAACACTGATTCTGTCCTACTGAATCCCATGTGTGCTTCAAAGAGTGCCTCTGCCCTTTGACGTGGTTCCCAGCAGGAATGGTGTGGTCACCTTTACCTCCTCTATCAGAAGCCATTTTATATATATTTAAGCACAAAGGTATTAACACAGAATGTTTAGGAAACCACTGGAAGGGCTTTAGGAACAGCTCCCAGAAGGACATCACAGAACAAAACTGCCCGGGGCTGTGGTCCCTGCCACCACCAGGGAGGTGCAGGAGCAGGCGGCTGGCACTGGAACTAGGATAAGGACACATTGCCAGGCTGGGCTGAAGGTAGAGCTGGGGTAGAGGGTTTGCCTAGCCTGAATGAGGCCCTGGGTAGGATCCCCAGCATCACGGGAAACAAAACAAAAGAAAGAGAAGGGGCTCTTTATTACTATAATTATTATTTTTATTTGTTCTACTTAGTTGTACATGACAACAGAATGCATTTCAATTCATCATACACAAATGGAGCGCAACATTTCAATTCTCTGGTTGCACACGGTGTAGACACACCATTCGTGCAATCATACATGTACCCACAGTAATGATGTTCATCTCATTCCACCATCTTTCCTATCCTCATAACCCCTCCTTGCTCTCCCCTTTGCCCAATCCAAAGTTTCTCCATTCTTCCCATGCCCCCGCCCTCCATCATAGATCAGCATCCACTAATCGGAGAAAATATTCCGCCTTTAGTTTTTGGAGATTGGCTTACTTCGCTTCATATAATATTCTCCAACTCCATCCATTTACCTGCAAATGCCATAATTTTATTCTCTTTTAATGCTGAGTAATATTCCACTGTGTATATATACCACAGTTTCTTTATCCATTCATCTATTGATGGGCATCTAGGTTGGTTCCACAGTTTAGCTATTGTGAATTCAGCTGCTATAAATATTGGTGTGACTATGTCACTATAGTATGCTGACTTTAAGTCCTTTGGGTATAGACAGAGGACTGGAATAGCTGGTTCAAATGGTGGTTCCATTCCAAGTTTTCTAGGGAATCTCCACAGCGCTTTCCAAAGTGGTTGCACCAATTTGCAGGCCCACCAACAATGTATGAGTGTACCTTTTCCCCACATCCTCGCCAACACTTATTATTATTTGATTTCTTGAAAATTGCTCTAAGATGAAATCTTAGAGTAGTTTTCATTTGCATTTGAGAGGGGGCTCTTTGGGAGTAATAGGATCATGAGGGGCCCTCACCCATGGATAAATCCCTTGATGAGTTCATAGTTTCAGTGGGCTACTAGAAGGTGGTGAAAACTTAGAAGGTGGGGTCTAATTGGAGGAAGTAGGTGTTCCCCGGTATATATCTTGTCCCCAGTCCCTTCTCACTTTTTGTTCTCTCTCTCTCTCTCTCTCTCTCTCTCTCTCTCTCTCCCCTACCAGTCCACCATGAATTTGGAAACTGTTCTACTGTACACTGCTGCCAAGATGCTCTGCCTCACCACAGGCCTAGAGGCAATAGAGCCAAGTGAACCTGTACTGAAACTTCTGAAGTTGTGAATAGAATAAACCTTTCCTTCTTGAAGTTGATCTGTCTCATGTATTTTGTCATAGTGACAAACTAACATAAGTCCCAAAGATTCACATTGTAGCAGACATCACGCCTGGGCTCTCGGAACCTGTCCTCCTGGCCTGTAGTCCCAGGTGACAGGCTCCACCTCACCTCCTTCCATCCACACATTCTCTTCAATTCACTGTAACAAAAATAGGGTGTCCCTTCCCTTCCATGAGGACCCATCTCTACACCTGCACTTTCCCATATATAGCTATATTCCCTCCTCAGGAATCGGTAACCAGAAATAACTCATCCTTCAGATGAAATTCAGATGCATAGGGCACATCAGCTAGGATGCTTTGGTTACAAGTAGAGGGAAAAAAAAATCAGGCAATCAAACTGGCTTTAAAATGACTTGGATTTATCATTTAACATAAGGCCCAGAAGAGTGGGGTTCAGGTTTTGTTTGATGAGGGTTAAGTCCTATTTATCCGGGCTTTTCTCTTTGCTCTGTGCTAGCATGTTCATAGACTGGCTTCCTTCACGGCCACAGAAAGGCTGCAGAAGCAATAAAGGTGATACATTCATCATTTATTCCAGAGAAGAGGAAGGGTAGCTTCCTACAATCATTGCTCAGAGATCCTGAGTTTCTCTTTGATTGAATCACCTCCAAACCAATTATCAGGGCCTCGGGGCCTGGCCTAGGATGTTCTCTGAATTCCTTGTGTGATGGGCTAGTCAACTTCATCCAACCTGTTTGTCTGCTACCAATAGAAAGGAGTGAGTTTGTTGGAAATGCAACTCAGGGTATTCTACTTGTGGGGACTCTGGCTGGGTTCAAGCTCACAAGCCTGAGATTCAAGCTTGACATTATCATACATTTGGGCTAACATATGAACAACTGGACAGGCATGTCTGGACATCAGGTCAGGACTGCCCATCTGCTGCTCATGGATAAGGCTGCATTCTGGGTGACAGTCAAAAATGTAGCCCAGGGGATTCCTGGACAGCACATCTCCTGGCCACCAGCTACCAGAAACACATAGCTTTGCCACTCACGGGTACAGAAATCTACTCATGGGGAGCACCCCACATGGAACTCGAGGTCTCTTCTCCTTCATCCCAGGAGCACATATAGGGCACCCCATAAAGAAGCTTGGTGTTTGGAGTGTGATAGACCAAGATCCAATCTTGTCGGTGTCATGTAGCTGTTCTCAAATAACCATGTTCCCGAGCCTCGTTTCCTTATCCACAGATAGAGGTCGTGATACCCAGTTCCTGGGATCACTGTGATGAATGAACAGATAGTGCCACAGCTGGTCTGGCACGACCATCTCTCCCACTCAGCTCCCAAGGGGTCAAGGTGAGCACCAACCTAGTTGGCATCATTATTTCATGCCTATTTAATGCACCAGGCACCACCACTCCCCCTTCTCTGAATGTTTGATGTCAATTGGAGAAAAATGAACATTGAGAAACAGGTCAGGATCCCAAACCTATTGTACCTGTCCCTAAGGTGTCATGGGAGTGTCAGAAGAATGGGAAATTGAAGGTCTTCACTCTTGAGGAACCCAACCTTGTTGGTGCAGTAAGATTTATGCCACTGAAGATCCAGGGAATCCTGTCTTCGGGCCTCTCTGGCCTCCTATGATGTTTTGGGCAATGTCAAGGTTAGAATTGTCCTGTTCCTGTGACTGTGGAAGATCATCATGTGAGTCATGTGGCAGTGTGTCCTCTGAGTATTTCCTTCACTGTGGAAATACTGTGTGAAGTTGGCTAACCTGGACCACATGACTTCTGAGCTCACCTGTCCCTGATCTCTGTACCCCCAAGGCCTCTTTGTCATCTCTCTTCCTCTCATCTAGTTCCCAGTGAGCTGATAATTAGGAACATTATTTGATCAGCAAATTCCTTAAGGAGTAGAAGTCAAACACTGAAGGTGTTCTCTGCCTGTGGTATTTGGTTAAAAGACTTGAATCCTTGGGAATGAATCCATCCTTGGAGCCTGAGATGAGAGAAGCTCTGGTGTGTATGATTTGGCCAACAAAGAGATCATGCAGAGGACAATAATTTTACTAAAAATAATAGCTAGCATGTATTGAGTACTTGCTGTCTAACAGGCACTATGCTGAAACTTTTATATATATTCATTTTCTAATTCTCCTAAGATGTTATCAGAGGGGTACTATTGTGATGATGATTTCATGGACATTGAAACTGGGGCACAGAGGATTTCCCCAGGAATGTACTTTCTTCCACAGATAGGAAGTGAAAGAGCCTAAATATGAGTCCAAGCTTGAGGACTTCTCTTCTGTCCCAACTCCTATGAGATATGGTAGTGGGAACCTTGCTGAGGCATCTGGGGAAAATATCCCTCCTTGACAAAAGAGCAGCACAAGGAGAAAACATTTCTCCCCTTTCAATGCATGCTCTTGTATGAAGGAGCAATGGCAGCCATCATGTACTCATAAGGGAATAAGCTTTAGGATAAAAGCCTAGAATATCCTTATCACTAAATGAATGTTGGATCTTCTGTTACTTGAACCCAAAAACCTTCCTAATTGATAGGAAGGTTGCACCTTAATAAACTTCTCTCCCATTGGCAGCCACATACCCTGAATCTTGCTCATAAAAAAAAAAAAATTCCAACCTTATTTAGTCATTAGGTTACTAATGCCAGTAAAGGTTTACTATTTAGCAAACTTGGCAACAAGAATATTGTCTTCAGGACAAGAGTTGGAAAGATCTTTTGTGGTAACAGTTGGTACTGCAACTGTAACTTTCCTTGATGAAAGGGATCCCACCCAGATCCTGGGATGGGTCAATGGAGACTCACAGGAAGGTGGTTGGTGATGGTGGGACAGGCTGCCCGGCAGAATCTAAGAGCTCAGCAGAACACTCTGGCTGGGCACCATCATCAGCCCTTCCTCTAAGGTTCTGGGTCATTACCCAACAGATCAGGGCCAGAGACAGTTCTGAAGAGCCCTGGCAAGCTGGAACGTTTTTAGATTTTAAGATTCTTGCCTGAAGTGCACCCCTCATCTTTGGCTGAGGCTGAGAACGTCACCTGCTTTGCATCCTCACCGAGGACAACTGTGAATTCAGCACAAGCCACTCGGGTCAACCAAATCCATGCAGTCCGATTCAGCACAACACGATGCGTCCAGCGACCCCAGCCAGCAAAACCAGGGCAGGGTGCGCATGCGTGCGTGCGCACGGATGCCCCTTAGGAAGATGCGTGCACTTTATTTTCTGGGTGATTTTTAGTATCTAAAGATCGCCACTTTCCCACCAGCAGTTCCTCACTCTGAGGCACCAGGAAGCACACGCAGCCAACAGAAAAAGGTGGGTCCTCTCCCCGTAGCCTCTGGGCCTGGATGTCCCCCTATTTTGAGCTGATCACTCATCTTTCCAAATAGGCATTTGAAAGACGCTTAACTTTTTACAATACAGCCCATCTTTCAGCCCCCTTTTTCCCATTAAGACATTATTCTGGGAACATGTCTTTGCTATTTTTAGGACCATTGATTTCTTTTTGAATCATTCTGCCTGCGTGGTTCGTGATGTCCTCACACAATACCTCTGGTCCGACTCCTCTGTCCACACCTAGCAGAGGCATCCTGCCCCTCGGTTAGCAGACGGCAGGAGGGAGGGGGCCCGGGAAGGAACCTCAGCTCCCCGGCCCCTCCTCTTCTTCCCTGGCAGAAATAATCACGATAACAATAAAGACGCCACCGCCCTGCGTTTATAGGGAACGTTGTACTTTTCAAAGAGCGTGCACTTTTCAATGAACAACACATGATATCTTTGAAAGGTTGAGAACAGAAGAGTATGTCAGAGAAACAATTTTTGATCAGGGTGGGGAAGGTGGGCGGCAGTGCGCATATCCTAGGCTTTTTTTTCTTTCTTTCTTTCTTTCCTTTTTTTTCGAAATCAGTTCACATCTCTCCTGTGGAAGGGAAATCTATCTGTTTGGTTGGTCACCTCATTTGCTTCCAGGCCTGGACCTCTTAGGCCGCAGAGACCCATTTCAACTTGGTAGATGAACAATGAGCTTGACATAAAAAGTTACTAATGTTAACAAGAAGACATGAGGACATTCTCAGCAACTTTTCTTCATAATCGTTTCCAATGGGAAACTACCTAAATGTCCAGGGACAGCAGAATGGGTGAATAAAATGGGACATATCCGTACCACAGAATATTACACAACAGTAAAAAGGAAAGAAGGACTGATAACCGTGTGATACATTGTGGAGAGGGGGAATAAAAAACAGACACAAAAGACTCCACACTGTGTGACACCATTCATATGAAGATATGAAGATCAAGAGCAGGTAAAATGAATCTTTGGTCACCAAGGTCAGCTTTGGGTGGGGAAGGAACAATATCGACTGGGAAATAACTGAAGGAACCTTCTGGGAGTCTGAATTATAAATGATGATTGCCTTTCTGAAAAGCGATTTGAAATGGAATAAATTTAATGTGGCCACCCAGTCCTTTTAATTCTGAGGTTTTAAAAATATATTTTGTTGTGGTCACGTGAGGGAAGCCCAGCCTTCCCAGCCCCTCAAGTTCAACCTTTAGCCTCTAGAATTCCATAATGTGCAACATTCACTAATAGTTGTCAAATGAGCCAGTAAATGAGTATTTTTTCCTCTCTTCAGATGCTGTATATGAAATTCGTTGTTCACGAGACAACTGCTCTTTTCTGATTTGATTGACATTGGAGTTGACCGTATTTCAGTGGTCCCAATTCCACGGGTGAGATGCAGTCAAAGCCTCAGAAGCAAAGGCATCTGGGAGGACGAAGAGGCTTGGGTTGGACGATGCGAGCAGCCAAGGCCTTGACTCTTGACTCCAGCTGAACTTGCTCTGCTCTTTGGACTTGAGGCCTTTGAACTGAAGCCTGCCCTTGCAAGATTCCCCGGCTTCCTTGTTTGGACTGGAGAGGAATGAGAAACATCATTCTTAGGGTATTTCAGGATCTTGTCTTCCTGTCCAGTCCCTAAAGGAGGAAGTTCAGAGAAGGG